ACACCATACTCTTCTCCTGAATCATGGCACATGCTATCTAGTTAGTTCCCTGAACCACTGTAAAAGAACAGAACCACAAGTAGCCTTGCAGAATACAGAATACACCTTTTCCCACTGTATATAACTTCAAAATAATATTTTCCTTCATAGGATGAGAATATATATGTATACATTGGATTATAATAAAATGGTTAAGGAGGTCTTCCTGGAAAAGAGTGGTGGGGAGAATGGTTGAAGGAAGGGTTGATTTGTTTCTTGGAAAATCAGAAATGGGAAATGGAAGACCTGGTGTTTGGTTCTAGATTTCTCCAAGTCACTTTTCAAGGTTTTAAAAGGTATATATAATGTTCATTACTTCATTATTTCCATCTATAACATTTTTTTTCTAGTTCATCTCTGACAGGAGTTATTTTCTGATGGCTTTGTTCTGCCAATTAAGTGCAGGTTAGGGCTAGCATAGCAGCTGCTTAGCATATGCAGGACCCTAGACTCACATATATACATGTGTATATATATATATACTCTAATATATGTGTATATAGTAGAGTTCTTTGTTTCCCCAGGAGGAAAAGGGAGGAGGCAAGGATAAAAGTCTCCTTTTGTCAGATGGCGACCTCACAGAACTGTAGAGTTAGAAGGTCCCACTTCACTCCTCTCATTTTACAATGGAGGAAATCAGTGCCTAGAGAAGTTGCATGCTGTGCCTTATACTTTACACATCACATCACACATCACAAGACTATAGCTCACGTCTTCCAACATGCAGAAGTCCTCAAAAGAAAACTGTGGTAACCCTGAACTATGAACTTAAGTGCCCTATGCCTCCGTTACTATGGTAACAAGAGTACATTGAAGATATTTCTACAAGTGTACCTCCTACTTGAGCTAGTAGGAGCCACTGTGCAGATCTTTATAGTGAATCAAAATACTTTAGATAGATCCTGTCACATGCTGTATAAGTTCCTGATTGATTGCATGGAACTAAGTTATTGGGCAGAGAACCAGCTAATGGGAACACATCGATGAAATCATTTTTGAGGGACATTAAATGGAACTTAAAGAAAAGCTGAAATGGTTGTATGGATTTTTCAGTCAAACTGTTTATGAACATTTATTGCCTGTAAATTATATTGTGTCAAAAGAAAGACTCAGTGGGTATCATTTTAATAGGAGCCTTTTTGAAATAATAAAATAAAAATAATATATTATCCAAGAATAGGTAGAGGGCAGCTTTGTGGATTTGTCTCAATGGACGGCTGTCTGAAAAAGTAGGAAATGTGGAGATCAGAAACCTGGTAGGACTTAAGAATAGCAGGTCTTTTGAAGAAAAAAAAAGTGTTACTATCTTATCTCATTGCAAGTATCAGTAAGTTTGGGAAGACAGGTAACCAGGGCCCTAAAGGCAAGCATTACTTGAGGACAGGACTGCCTTGCTATTTGTTCAGACTCAGAGAAAGAGGAATAGGTACAGAGCAGACAAAGTCTGCTGAAAGATACCATCCAGACCAGATGTGAATAGCGCTTGGTCTGGAACTGAGGCTGAACCGAACTTTCCAACCCTGAGCCCCCAAGCTCTATGACTATAGAACAATTTCACGTCCCCATGGTGCAGGCTGCACATCTATCAGATACTCAGCCTCTTCACCATAAGGCATCCATCCACCGCAGCACACATGCTGAGGTCTGAAGGCATTGTCCCTGAGTAGGGTCTCCCTCTCTAATGTGAATTCAAAGATGAACTCAGGTGCTCAGCCTCACATGAAAATTGATCTACCCCGTGGGCCATTTTGCTAGCCTATGTTCTTCTTTCTTTTTCAAAAGAAAAAGTGAACATAATGGGAATTATATGTCATGTTCAAAGCTCCTCAGCAAATGAGAGGCCTTTTGTATCTTTCTGTAGAAATTCATATCTAAAAGTATGGCTTGGGCTATGTAGGACATGAGGACCCCGTTGGCCAAATTCCAGCACAGCAGATGTGCCCAGAGCCTCACATGACATCTCACCATGTGACTTCTGTGGAGTTGTTTAACCCATGGCAATTTTATAGTTCTCACCTATTTATATTCCCACCTATTTCTCCAAGGATCTCAGCAATGCTAGAGATGTTAAATATATACTCATTGTGATGACTAATTTCTTCTGTCAGCTTGATTGCATAAGAAAGGCATTCATTGGGATTTACTTATGAGGACTTCCCAGAAAGGATTAACTGTAAAGTAAAAAGTGGGCCATACCCTCTTGAAGACTATGGTCTCAGACTGAATAAAAAGGGGAAAAAGAAAAAGGTCACCTGAATGCTGGCAGCCTCATGCCTCTGCCTCCTGAACTTCCCAGGTGTAAGCAACCTCCTCCATCATCTGTGGCCCGTGAGCTTCATGTACTTCAGTTACCTCTGAATGTGGCCAAACATATGTGGAGACCACAGCTTGTGTGATAACATCATGCCATAGTGTCAGAATGTTGGATAGTTCTGTGTGAGCAAGCCTTTGGACACAGCAAGGAAAAATTTAATTGAAAAACCATATTTAGTGCATGTTTAACAAAAGGTACATGATGGTCTAAGATCTAATTTATTCTGCAGTTATACAAAAATATAATGAGGAAATCTCAGGGGCAAAATTAGTAATTTATGCATAACAAACTTTGAACATTCTTATGTAATTTGCATAACAAGCTGTAGATTTCATTATGTGTACATTTCAATGGATTTGAAATTATATAGACTCTTAAAAAGCAAGAAATATGTCTGTGCTGCAGAAATACTCAGTGGATAAAGTGCTTGTTATGCAGATCTGAGGACCCCAGTACCCTAAACAAACTAAGCAAAAGAGAGGACCCTAACTAAAATGTTCAATCCCCATCCTGAAAGGCAAAGAGGATGGACATCAGAAGAAGAAGAAAACAGGAAACAACCTCAGAACCTGCCACAGAGGGCCTCTGAAAGCCAGAAGAAGAAAACAGGAAACAAACTATGAACCTACCATGTAGGGCCTCTGAAAGCCTCTGCCGTGCAGACTGTCAAAGCAGATGCTGAGCCTGATGGCCAACTGTTGGGCAGAGTGAATGGAATTTTATGTAAGAAGTGGGAAATAGTAAGAGCTGGAGACTACAGGGTCTCCACAAGGAGAGCAACAGAACAAGAAAATTTGAACACAGGGAACTTCCCAGAGACTCATACTCCAACCAAGGACTATCCGTGGAGATAACCTAGAACCCTGACAATGCAGCCACTTCTGATGAGAACTGATAGACTAAGATCAGAAAGAAGGAGAGGAGAACCTCCCCTATCAGTGGACTTGGGGAGGGGCATACATGCAGAAAGGGGTGGAGGGTGGGACTGGGAGGGAAGGAGAGAGGGGCGTATGGGGGGATACAAAATGAATAAAGTGTAATTAATAAAAGTTAAATAAAAAAATTAAAAAAAAGACAAACTAGGTTGAATACATCTATAATTTTAGCATGGGTAGGGACAGAAGGATCCCAGGGGCTTGTTTGTTAGCCAGTCTAGCCACAACAGCATGTTCCAAGTTCAGCGAGAGACCCTGCCTCAAAAAAAAAAAAAAAATAAGGTGAGGAGTGATTGAGGAAGAGATCCAATGTCGACTCTAGGTGTGCATGGATGAGCACACCTGTGCACACACGGACAGATACACAAGAAAGTCTTTAGGCTGAGAAAGGTTTAAAATGGCCCACACTTAATGTTTTCTACACAGTGATGGTGTCAGTTCATTGAGGATGCTGCAAGTACATGTGCTAGTACATATGATGGAACCTACAGAATTCATTCAAAATCGTTAACTTATACATTGCTCTTCATTATCCAGCTATTCTTTTAATAGCTATGTGTAACGTTAGGTCAAAATATCACTTTCTGATTGTTTTTGCAGTGGTCTGTTGCTACTATCATAAGATTGAATGTTTGTGCAGGTCCTACATATGTAAATTAAAAATTCGTTTTCTAGACACATCATTATACCAAGATAAATCTAATTTAGAGTAATAATCACAAATGAAGGATTTCTAGGCAGTATAAATATGAGAGATCTAGAAACTTGCACATGAGTGCAAGATACTCTACTCTTCTTAACAGTATCAAAGACACACACCAAATGTGAAGCACTTACAGTCTGCAAAGTACAGGATACCTCGCCAGCTATGTTTAATTGAAAAGCTAATATCCAGGGCAATTGTCCCTAAACACTGCAGGTTAAATGATTTGAAATCTGTCAGGGAGCATAAAAGTCAGATAATTACTATTGTTTTATAGCTGGAAAAGTTCAGCTGATGTTGACAAGTGCTAAAGATAAAGGCTGAAAGCTCAAGCAAGAGCTGAATGTCTCAATTGGACGGGGAATCGATGTTAATACTCTGTATAGAAATATGTCCTTTAAGTGGTCACATATATGTTCCACTTGTATAACTTTTTTAAATGATAACGCAGAACTTTATTTACAGAAAAAATACAATTTAGCTTGATACTAGGCAAACACTACCATCTAACCCCATGTTACACAGCTTTTACTGAGTTGCAGGGAGAGGGCCTCAGCTGCTGTATTTCAAAACTTTCAGTCAGAGGGCCATTAATAGTTTAAAATAGACAAGAGTTAAAGCTTCCTATCTCAAGGCATGTTGTTAAAGATGTTTTCCCTTTTGAAAACGAGGCTATCAGTTTGAGGGGGAATGCATGGGAAAGGGCTCCCAGGATGAGCAAGGGAAGTGGACAGTAATATAATTGTATTTTAATTAAGATATTGATTTATTTCATGACCTCCTCCAGCTAAAACCTGGGTGGAATTTTCTGCCTGGCCTCACTCTGATGTAACAAGAGTTGCCCCTGGTTCTTTCAAGGGTTTCTTGCAGGAACTGATTTAACGCTGTCCTACCAGAAGCCCTGAAGCCAGTGGCAGCACGCATGCTCCCAGCTCTAATCAGCGTGCTGTGGGTGGCCTGGGTGACCGCACATGCACAATGTCTGTCTGCTTTTGTCTTTTCTCCATAGGAGCCGAAGGCACAGTCTTCCCCAAATCCATAGAAACGCCTAATGTCAGAGCAGACCCCTTCAAAGAACTAAGGTAAGCTTCTGGCTTCGATATGCAATACATCAGTGCTGTTTCCTGTCTGTGGCTCCCATGGACTCATTTTGAATAATATGGTTTGCATACATCAGTAGCTGTTTCCCGTCTGTGGTTGGCCAAGAACTCATTTTGAACAATATTGACATTTATTATATGAAATTTTAAATGAAATATTAACTGGAAGAGACTGAAGACAATAATTTTTCAATCTGTTTTTTTTTCCTAAGTATTTAAGAAATTGAAGGTCTGAGGTGAGAGGTTGCCGGCTGCGTAAAGGTGACTAGTGATTAGATTTCTGGGTTGACAGTGCCTATTTATTGCTTTTGTTCTGTGTTTCTTCAAATCAATATAGTTAGAAAACAAATCACAATTGGTGTTGATTAGCTACCCCAAAAGTACTGTCTAAAAGAAGTTGGTGTCTGAACCCAATTAAAGTATTTCCCCATGTAACAGAATGTCTGTTACTTGGGTGGTGTAGAGCTGGGTCTGTGTTCTGTGGATATTCTTTGGACTGGGATTGATCTTCAAATATGGATATAAGTGTGCAGTTTTAGCAGGGGAGACATCTGAGATGCTGTGTAGTTGCTACCAACTATGGAAAATGAAAAAAATGTACAGAGAGATGGACATAGAGATATAGCCTAGAAACCATCCTAGGTGCTGGCAGTTAAGCAAGAGAAACACATAAAAAAATGATATGTTCAATATAAATAGAACTGTAATTTCTAAGATAGGATTATAAGACCCCAGAAACCAGAGAATGCTGGCTGTCCTTGTGTTTGGTAATTCTTTTTTTTTTTTTACAATAATTTTGTAATTATATTTATGCACAGAAAACTTAGCAGTGTACATTTAATTTAGTGGCAATTTCTTTAGCCTTCGCCTTTTCAGCTTGGCAATGTCAGCAACAGATTTAGGACCCAGGCTGTGGCCTCCCCCCATGGTGGCAGATCTCATCCTATCTGTCGTTGTAATCCATCCTAATAGCCTCTACCAGCTTAGCCACAGCACCCTTGTCTTCCAAGTTAACCTGTGTGAAGGCGACAGTGGTGCAGGTCTTCCTGTGGATCAGCTGCCCCAGCCTGGCCTCTCCCTGATGATCCAGTAGGGGACTCCCATGTTTCCACACAGGGCAGGTAGAAAAACCACCACATCAATGGGGTCTACATCATGGGCAATCACCACCAGCTGAGTCTTCTTGTTCTCTACAAGGTGGTGACTGTATTGACCCTTGAAGGACAGGTGGTCTCTCAGTTGGGATGCCTCCTTTCCCTGCTGCTTTCTTCTCAGCATGGACCAGTAGCCTCTGCTTCCTCTCCTGCTTTGTCTCTGGCCTGTACTTGTGGGCACACTTAAGTAGCTAGGTAGCTGTTTACTGGTCCAGGGCCTGGGTGAACTGGTTAATGGCAGGAGTTACTTTGAGCCTGCTAATAGAGGATGACCCTTTGCCTCTGCAGCCTAATGTAGTGGGGCTGGATATCCTGCCCCACGCTGAAGTTTGGGGGCCTTTTCTCAAAAGATTGACTAACTTTTTGGCCTCCTGTGACTTTATGACAGCAGGGCCCAGGGCCACCTTCTTCCCCTTGACCTTCTTTCCTTTGGGCATCTTGTGAGGCTAGAGGAGAGAGCATGTTTGGTCATTTCTTTCGCCTGACTGACACCAAAGGTAAAGCATCAGACTAGCTCAGACGACCATGGCTAACTTCCTCATAATAGACATCAGATGTAACGGGGTGCGCCGGCATTGCATAGGCTGCATCTTCTGCTCCTTCACAATATACACTCTAGATCTGTGCTTGGCTGAAATGGCCAGAGCGACAGGAAAGCCGGCATTCCCCTAACAGAAACACACTCATGAGAAATACATTATTCCCTAGCCCAAGACATTTCTTCAGAATGTATACTCCCTAATTATAGAGGAAAATAGATTGAGAGAAAAGAGTATAATTGTTGGGGAATAAGAACTTTTTTCCAGAAAAATCCCAAATAAGGTGGAGCTGTAGTTTACAATCCAGCTGCCTTGCCACAGTGTGTGTGTGTGTGTGTGTGTATGTCTGTACATGTTTGATGAAGTCAGTAATACTCTCACAGTTAGAGCAGAGCTAAGACATAGAATCAACTCACTTGTGCCTTGATGGATAAATGGATAAAGAAAATGTGCCAGATGCATGATGTCACTGAATTTTAACTCAGAAACAGCGTGAGAAAGAAGGGCCGCCTCTGGAGTTTTAGGATTAACAATTCAGGAACCCAGGTTTAGATAACCTGAATCAGTGTTCTAAGAAAGCAGGAAGTAGGAGCTTAGGTGGGCCACTGACAATAGAAAAGGTAAAGAAAAAAAACATGAACTGGGCTGAGGCCCTCATAAGTCCAGTCACCTAGTAATGTACATCCTTAGGCTTGGAGTACGAAGTCATTGCTTTGTGATTCTGGTGTTGCAGATGCTTAATGTGAAATTTTTGCATCTCAGACAGCAGTTGGCAGTTGGAGTCATGCATAAGCCATATGACTTAATGACATAAGTCTTAATGACTCTCTGGGTCGATTTTGTAAAGTTCCATCAAAAATTGCTTTTATAATAACTCTTAATTTTTTTCAACATAAAAGCCATAAAAGGGATGATGGCAACATGTCACAGCATGGATGAACTCAAGGACATTACATTGAATGAGATAAGCCAGACACATAAAGACAAATAATATGTGACCTCATTCATATGTTAAACCTAAAATAAGTAGATTGAATCATAAAGAGTAGAATAATTGTCATTATAAGTAAGAAGGAGAAGGGTACAAGAGATCAGGAGAGTTTAGATAATAGGTACCAAATAAACAGTATAGACATTGCACTGAAGTCCATTCTAATGCTATATTGTGCAGTATAGTGCTATAACTCACAAACCTTTACATGTTTTTAAAAGAACCAGAAACGATGACCTCAAAGACTGCTAACATCTGCTTCGATTCCATGCTGGATAGTCTTTCAGAGGTCTTCTGTGGTAGGCTCCTGTCCTCTTCCCTGTTTTCTCCCTCTTATTATATCTATCCCATTTGCCTTTCTGAATGAGGATTGATCATCTTATCCAGGGTCCTCCTTCTTGCTTAGGTTCTTTAAGGGTACAGATTTTAATATGTTTTCCTATACTATATACCTACCACAGAGGACCTCTGAAAGACTCTACCCAGCATGGTATTGAAGCAGATGTTGAGACTCACAGCCAAACTATGGGCAGAGTGCAAGAAATCTTATGAAAGAAGGGGGAGATGAAAGACCTAGAGGGGACAGGAGCTCCACAAGAGCAACAGAACCAAAACGCCTGGGCTCTGGGGTCTTTGCAAAGACCGATACTCCAACCAAGGACCATGCATGGAGATAACCTAGATCCCTTGCTCAAATGTAGCCCATGGCAGCTCAGCCTCCATGTGTGTACACTAGTAAGGGGAACAGGGGCTATCTCTGACATGAACTCAGTGGCTGGCTCTTTGATCCCCTCCCCATGCGAGGAGTACAGCTTTACTAGGCCACAGAGGAAGACAATGCAAACAGTCCTGATGAGACCTGATTGACTAGGGTCAGAGGGAAGGGGAGGAGTGGACTGGTGGAAGGCATGGGAGGAGAAGAGGAAGGGACGGTAGGATTGGGAGGGGATGAGGAAGGGAACTACAGCTGGCATACAAAGTAAATAAATTATAATAAATAAAATAAAGAAATAAATTAAAAATAATAAAAAATTATAATGCTTGGTTTTTGTTATGGACAAAAGTGGTGGTTTGTTGATTTAAATTGTTTTGATTAAATTGTATTGATTAAATATAAAAAAAGAAAGACTGCTAACACAAAAGTAACCACTGTTTAAGGAGACACAAAGGCTAATTAAACTCATTTACTCACTATTATGTCATATCAAATTAGCATTTGTTCCTTATAAACATATATAGATAGAATAAAACCATACCAAAAGGGCATTTCTATATACATCAGTCTGCACTGAAGAGCTGGTCCATGGAGAGCACAGGACAATGTTTGCTCCTAGTGTGTTGAAGATTAGCTTTCAGTGTCTACTTAAAACCTAAGAGAAGCCCCAGAAATTGCATTAGAATATGTACCCTCTAAAATTCCTGAGGAAGTGTAAGCATAGTGAACCACAAAAGACTTCAGGTAAGAACTGCATTTTCATTGCTTATTCTAAAATTATGGGCAAAATTCACAGATGCCCAAAGTAATGTTTTGACAAAATTATCTCCTTTTTTTCATTCTGTTGCCATGATACAAAATACTCTGACCCAAAGCAACTTGGGGTGGAAAGGGTTTGTTTGGCTTATCCTTTGATGGCACAGTCTTTCATTGAGGAAGTCGAGCAGGAATTTAAAAAGGGAGACATAGCAGAAACCATGGAAGCATACTTCTTACAGGCTTGCCTTCTAGATTACTCACTTATGCTTAACTAGCTTGTTTGTACAGCCAGGATAACCTGCCTGGGGAATGGTGCCACCCACAGTGGGCTGGAGCCTCCTACAACAATTAATAATCAAGACAGTCCCTCACAGCATGCCCACAGACCAGCCTAATTCAGGTATTTCCTCAACTGAGGCTTTTCCTCTCAGATGACTAAAGTCTGTGTCAAGTAAACAAGGCTGACTAGGACAGGCATCTTAAAAATATTTCCATATGTTATTCTGATACTTTTCTATTGTTTGTACATTTTATCCAAATCTTGGTAGCCTGAGCCCAGCTGAAAATACAAAATAGCATAATTTAGCCCATTTTTTATCTAGAATTTCTTTCTCATTGGCATCTGGTTGCATTACCAGCCTTTTGACATTGCACAGGACCTTGTCACCTACAAAGTTTACACCCCCGAACAAAGCAGTAAGATTACAATGTGTGTGTGTATGGTGTGATATATATGCATATATATACACACTATATAACAATAAAATCATAATAGTTTAGTTAAGTTTGTGTTTTTGTGTTGAGCCCTATCCCTAGCTATCTTC